GACCCCCACCTCTGTAGCTGCTTAGGGACTAGGAGGGAAGAAAAGGGGGGCGCGGTGTTTGAGTAGAGCTGGGGAAGGAGGAACAAAGGGAGAGAAGGTGGCTTGGGCTGAGGACAAATCGCCAGGGAAAGCGAGGCTTTCTCTCTGTCCACGTACGCCCTGAACAGGATGTTCTCTCTGTCCACGTGTATCATGAACAGGATGACAGCCAGCCCTGACTCCCCAGGACCCCAGCACTCTGTCTCTCGGGGATGTACTGACCACCTAGAACCATTCCATCTGTTTGGTAAATGCATATCTCATTCCATCACTTCTCTGAGTCTCCATTTCTTGATCTTTAAAATAGAGATCTTGAGGGTCTCACCTGAGCTGTGAGTGAGCACACAGTGAGGGCTCCATAAGGGTGTGGATTACTCTGCAATGGGGGACCACACAAAGCCCTGCGGAGAAGACTAGCAACAGAGTGGCCTCACAGGCAGCTCTGCACCAGACACTGAGCTAGAACACGGTGGGCCCTTTGATCCCCATACCAGGGAGGGGGGCCCGAGGTCTGCAGAGGAGGCCAGGGAAAGTGGCTGAGGACATTTCTGTGGGGCCCAGAGGAGGCTTCTGCTATGGGACAGTGAAGCATGCAGGCCAGGCCCCAGTGTACTGGAGACTGTGCAGGGTCGGGTGGATTCCTGTGGCTGCAATCATGCTCATGCTCTGGACAGAGGGTCCTGGGTTTAAATCCCATATCCACCATTACCTGCTGCAAAGTTACTGCCCAGCCCATCTGGATTCCTCCCATGGAATACGGGTGTGCTCTGTGTAGAGACAGACTCACCAGAGAAGGTGCAGGACACCCAGAACGGCTGGGGCAAGGGGAACAGAGTACAGGCCCAAGTGGCCACAGAAGGCACAGTGTATGGAGGGCTGGCGGAGCGGAGGGAGTAGGGAGTGGCATGAGTACGGAGAGAAGTGTGCTGACCTCCACCCATGGCCAGCTGTGCCACACATGTCTCAGGAAGGGGTAGAGACACCGCACCAAACACTGTGGGATCAGCCTGGCTGTGCGATGTTGCCAGGTGCAAGGGGGTGGGGCCTGGCCTGACTCTGTAGGACCTACCTCTCAGGACGGTGACCTAGGCTAAATAAGCAGCAGCCACCTCCTGTCTGGACAGGCTTCTGGCCTCTGCCCTGGCCTGGCCAGCCCGTCAACTTGGCAGCCAGATAGCTGTGTGGTCATACCAGCCAAGGCCCCTGGGCACACACCCCAGGAGGCACCCCAGCCTGCACGGCCCCTCTCACCTCTCTGACCTCGTCTCACACTCTCCCCCAAGCTTGGCCTCCACTCTCCCCAGGCCCCTGTCCTGCCGTTCTGCCAACCCTGCCCTTTACTGAGTGACACCTCCCTCCTCGGCTCCGTGGTCCTCCTTAGCCCTCCTGACCTCTAACCCAGTCTGCCAGTCTGTTTCTTGTCTGCCCCAGGGCTGGTCCGCCTGTCTCGCTTGCTGCTGGGGCCCACCAGTGTCTGGCACACAGGGTGCACTCAGATCATCACTGAATGAATGAGAGGCACATGTAAAATCACCACTTTCCTTTCCGTCTTGAAGAGTTCTGAGAAACGTGTGCATATTGACTTGTGCATTTTGTGTGCCAGCCTCGGGCATCAGGAACCGAGCGGGCTGAGTGCCTGCACGGGGGACAGGAGATGGGGGCACAGACACTGCAGACCATTTCCAGAGCAGGGTCGGGGCCACACTGACACTGGCCCAAAGCATGCTGGGATAAGAAATCTAACTGACAGCTGTAACGGATCATACAATATCACGGGAGCCCGCCAAAGAGAAGGGACAGGGCATCCGTGGCAAAAGGGAGGGTGTGGCTTTAAACCTTAGGATATCTTGGGGCAACTGGAGGAGTTGGAAAAGACTCACCCAGTCCCCACAGACAGGAACATTTGGTGATTCCTGATGCAAGAACCCATACCCCCAGCGCCCACCAGCACCGCGGCATCGGACCCCCTTTCCTTGGGAAGCCCCCTAGAGCGCGGTGCCAGCTCACTCTTAACCCTGCTTTACAGGGGAGAGCCCACAGTCCAGAGAAGCTAGGGCAAGGCCTGGACGGCAAGGAGCGTCTAGGACCCCGGGTCTTGAGGGCACTTGTGGCCAGACACTGCACCAGAGTCTCATGAACGCCCACAAGAATGGCAAAGCTGGACTGGCCTCCTTGAACAGAGTGGGGGACACAGCCACGCCCCCATCTATTCCAGTACCGGCTCAGGCCGCCCTGGGTCCAGAGGCCCCATTATTAGCACCTCATCTCCACAGGCTACCTACCCCTAGGCGACAGTGGGGACTTGGGCGCCCCGCCGGATATGCCGGGTAGTGGGGAGGGGGCGGGTGGGGCACGAGGCCAGCCGAGCGCGGGGCGGGGCGCGCCTGGCAGGGCGGGCCGGGCACCTCCCCGCGCGAGGAAGTCCCGTCCCCGCGCTTTGGGGAAGTGCAGCCAAGGCGCCTGCGCACTGCACCCTGCGCCCCCTCCCCGACGATCCGGCCGGACCTCGGGGCGCGCGGGCCAGCAGCGGCGGCGCGAACGGCTCGGGAGCGCGGCCGGTGAGTGCGCGCGCGCGCGGCGCCGAGGACGGCGGCTCTGCCCCTCCCGGCCCGGGGCCCGGAGGCCGTACGGGGCGGGAGCCTCGGGAGCTGGCGCCCGGATCCGCACCCCAAGGACTCCAGCCGCGGGGTCCACGTGGACCCTGGGCCGCGGCGGGACTGGAGCCATTCCCCCGCGCGTGGGGGAGGGGGCGCTGCAACCGGTTCCCCTTTTTCTGCCGCTCAAAGCCTGGGGAAGTGATTGCTCAAAGGGGGGGGCCGGAAGAACCCAGGTTTCCGCGTCTCCCGCCCCCCCCAGCCTGGTGGGGAGGGGCCGAGGCGGGACACCCTGTCCGCCCCCGCCCCCACCCCCTTGGATCTGGCAGCCACTCACCCTGCAGGGCGCAGGGGAGGCGCTGCGCCCCCGGCCCCAGCTGATCCGGGGCTCCCGGCGCCGGCCTCCCTCCAGAACGCCGCAGGAGTACCTCCTGCCGTCTGACTCGAGTCCCTGCTGCTGCAGTGCACGCCCCTTCGGCAGCCAGGGTGGGGCCCAGAGGGAACCTGGCCCCTCCCGCCCCCACCTCGCCTTTGGGTCGATGGTGAGTGGGGCGCCATGGCGAGTTCCTTCAGATAGGGGTGGGGGCGTCAGTCAGAGGCTGGGGGAAGGGACCCCTCCCTAAAGAAGGAGACAAGCTCTACCAGGCCAGGTCTTGCCCGCAGAGAGAGGAAGAGAGAAACAGGTTGCCCCCACCACTGCAGAGGTGGGGTGGGGGCAAGGGTCACCAGGGTTAGAAAGACCGGGCCTGCCTTGGAGGAGTCAGGCTCGGGCGCCTCCACCTATCAGATGGGGGGCAGCGACAGGAAACGTACTGAGTGCCATCAGAAGCAGGGAAAGGAGCCCCTCTGTCAGCCCTCTGCCCAAAGGTTAGGGCATTTTTTTCTGGGATTGTCACATTTTCTTATTCTTTTTTTGGACTGGGCGGGCTCAGGGACGTTCTTTTTCCTTCTGTGGAGCAGAGTAGCAGCCGCTCCCAAGGGAACCTCTGTCCCCAGAGGCCAGGCTTTCTGCCTGTCCAGCCTCTCCCACCCCAGACTTGGGGGCCAGAGCCTAAGGAGCTGGGAAAGGGGAACAAGTTCCCTCCCTAATGCCAGGATGAGGGGCAGGAACCCCAGTTCAGACCCTGTATCACCTCAGCAGACAGTGAGTGAACAGGTGACCCCAGTCAGCCTGAGGAGGGTGCAGGGAGCCAGGTCCAGGCCTGCAGCTGGGACAGAAGACACTGACCCCAAACACAGCCTCCAGCCCCAGAGGCCCCCTGGATCTACACCCCCAGACAGGGCCCCTCCTCTAATTCAGAGCTGAGTCTTTGGATGCTAGGGAGGGGAGAGGGGACAGGGCCCTGCCCCCACTCACAGTGGGTGGGGGTGCCGAGGAGGAAGAGCAGTTTTCTGCCTGGCTACCAGACCTCAGAGGTTGCCACACCCCTTCCTTTCCCTAGAAGCTTGACCCCTGAGGGAAAGGCAAGCTGTGGGGCTGCTGCTTCCCCATCTGCTTGCCCGGAGCCTGTGGGACCCAGTTGGAGGGTCCCCTCCCCCATGGTCTCAGGGGAAGCCAGGTAGCTGGTAAGGGGCCTCAGCCCCAGAGGACCCTATACTTTGCCCCGTAGATTCGGGTCAGGGCAGGGCCTCTGCATGCCCAGGTCCTGGAGGCAAGGGTGCTCTAAGTGCATAACTCACACGCGGTCCTGGCAACCCTGCTCCAGGAGCTGCCTAGCCCGGTTCTGCTGTGGTGCCTGCCCTAGAGCACCCACCCTTCCCTCCTACCCTGGGAGATCCCAAGAGGCCAACATGGACCAAAGGGGGATTGAAAGTCCACAAGCTGAGGGATGGGGGCAGCAGGGAGGATGATAATTACATGAGAAGATAAAGTGAAAGCAAGTCATGAGCCTCCAGGCCGCCAAGATGGGGGTTGGGTACAGGACTGGACGGCTCAGCCATGCAGGGGAGCACCCCAGGCCCTGTGGGTCCTCACCTAGGCCAAAGTGGGCACAGGCAGGGGCCGTGGTGGGAAAGCATTCAAAACTGCCCCCAGAGCACTGATTGCCCACCCTGGTGGGATCGGCGGGTGGCCTCGCGGGGGTGGGGGTGGGGAGGATCGGGCTCCTCGCCCTGGCTTGGGGCTCCAGGGCCCGTGCCCCCTGGGTGCCTCCACCATGAAACATGGGTACAGACATTGAAGAGAATGCTGGCTCTCACCCCCTCCAGGGATCCCGCATCCCTGACCCAGGGAGCAGGGCACCCCGACCCATTGCTACCCCCCGCTCCTCTCCCCCTCTGGCACCCCAGGCTGTACTGGTTTCCACAGCCTGGTGGGGGTGGGAGGAAGGGAGGCTGGGAGACCCTGGGTGAGGTAAGGTACCAGCTGGGGGTTGGGGTGCTAGGGGCAGCATCTAGGACCTAGGAGCCATCGGTCCCCAGGAGGCTCATGGCCCTCCTCCCCTGTGCCCTGCTGCACTTCCCACACCCTCAGAACGTCCTGCCCCACTCATCTCCATGCTGCAGACCTCGTCAGCTGCAAACAGGCTGGAATCCTCTGGGGCCCGCACAGATCTGGGCTCCTGGTGGAGAGCAACCCTCCCCACCTCCCTCACCCCCTGCAGAAAACCCAGAATGGAGGGAGCTGGGGAGGGGGTCTGAATGTCTTACTACCACCCTTATGCATTAACCTGTAGCCCCAGACTCTTGGGGCCCCCCGTCCTCTTGGGAGGGGCCAGGAGCCGGAAACCAAGAAAGAGGAACCCAGACTTCCGGCTTCCCAGGGACGGAGCAAATGAGGGTGTCCCGGAACCTCCTGTGGAGATCTTGTCTGGGGCCCCCTTCTCACTGTCCCTGTCCCTGCTCATAGGCTGGGGCAGAGGCAGGAGCCTGAACAGAGTGGCCTGAAGGTGGGGGGCAGGGGAGCAGGCCCCCCAGGGCTCTTGGAAGGACCCCTTCCAGGGGACGAGTAGAGACTATAGTCCCAGGTTCTCAGTGAGAACCTCCACCTCTCTTCTCAGACTCCCAGGCTGTGGTGAGGGTCCCGGAGCCAGCACCACGGAGCCCGGGCGACCTCCTCCACCCACCCATGCCCACCCCGCATGAGACTGAGAAGCAGGTGCACCACCTCCACCCTGCCTCTGCCCCCATTGTGGGAACGGGGGCGGGGGGGGGCAAAGAGTTGGGAGACCCTTGACCGCCCGGGAGGCCAGGGGGGTGACCACCAAGGGGAGTCAGGGAAGAGGTGTGGGGGCCCCAGGTTCTGGCCTGGAGCTGAGGAGGCCCCCATATCACCAGCACGTAGGGCCAGAGGAGGCAGACCAGCCCCCCTCGATGTCCAGTCATGACGCGGCCCCTCCGGCTGCCCCCAGCCGCAACCCCTGCTGCTTGTGCTGGTGTTGCTGTTGCGGCTGTTCCTGGTATGTGGGGACTGGGGTGGGGGGCAGGGGCGGTGGGGGGGCTGTGTAGACATGGGGCCCCAGATCCTGCCCCCAGACCCTCAGATGGCTTACGAGGCCCTGCCTCCCACAGCTCTCATCCAGGGGTTGCTGGGCCCTGCTGACCAGTGGCCAATGCCCAGACTCCTCTGTATGTGTGGCTTTCATGTCTGGTGTGCCTGAGGGTATGTCCATGTGTCCGTGTCCACCATATGTGCACTCCTCTGTCCACTTACTCAGCACGTGCTGATGCCGCCATGACCCAGCCTGAGCTGGCCCTGGGGTCCTACAGAGGGAGAAACAGAAGTACATCCTACACACTGTTCGGTGGAAGGACACTGAGCAGGGACCTGGCCTGGGGACAATGGGGATGAGCTTCCAGAGCAGCCTGCCAGAGGGCGGGTGTGGGGCCTCCAGGTGGTAACAAGGTTCTGTAAGCCTGTGGAGAAGCTGTTGGGAGTTTTCATGTCTGACAGAGGCCTGGCCCTATTCAGGCTTCCAACCCATGGCTGTTGAGTGGACAGCGCTGTGGGGAATCAAAGGGGGATCTGCTGACTGGTGAGCGGTTCAAGCCTGAGACAGGAGAGGGGAGCCATGAAGAATTAGAACGCACTAAGACTTTGGCTGTGGGGGCCGAGGGGGAGTTTGGGGTCTAGCAGATAGGGTAGGAGAGGAACAGAGTTCTCTGTCTGTTTGGGTTTCGAAATGTCTGTTAGACATTCCAGTGGCCCTAGAGGGAGATCTGGCTGGAGGCATGGATGTGGAAGCCAGCCCTGACACCGGGTGAGGAGCCAAGGGAGGGAAAACGGTCCCTTGGGGAGAATCAGACACACATAGGCTGGGGCTTTCTTACTGCATCAGCTGGGACCTCTGGGAGAAAGGGGTGGGGGCTGAGGTCAGGTCAGGGAGGTGCACAAGGAATCGGTGAAGTCCTGGAGGCTAGGAGACAGGAGCGGTATCCCGAACACCACTGAGACAGCCTCGGTCCCAGGGGAGAGACAGGAGGGGTGGTGGGCTGCAGCAGGTGCAGACCCTCCTTCCCTGGAAGGTGTGAATGGAGCAGACTCCAGAGCTGCCCACCTGCAGTGGGTTCACACAGAAGCTGAGAGTCCCCGTGCCCCGTGTGTGTGTGTGTGTGTGTGTGTGTGTGTGTGCACGCACACGCACACATGCCAAGGCCAGAGGTACTGGGGAGGCCAGTGCCACCTTTCTCTCTGCGGGTAGGAATGAAGAGCGGCGGCGAGCATGGCGGGTCTCCCGGGAGAACAAGCTGCAGCCTCTCCCCAGTTGTGAGGCATGGTAGGTGTGGCCAGCCGTGTGTGTGCGTGTGTCTGGGTGGTGGGGGTGCAGGCCTGACCTGGCCTGGCGGGGAATGCCCACAGCGCCACGCCGAGCCCTGAGGAGGTGCGGAGCTGGGCGCAGTCCTTCGACAAGCTGATGCACAGCCCAGCGGGACGAAGCGTGTTCCGGGAGTTCCTGCGCACGGAGTACAGCGAGGAGAACATGCTCTTCTGGCTGGCCTGTGAGGAGCTCAAGGCTGAGGCCAACCAGCACGTGGTGGACGAGAAGGCCAGGCTCATCTATGAGGACTACGTGTCCATCCTGTCCCCCAAGGAGGTGCACCGCCATGGGGACCCAGGGCAAGGGTTTGGTGGGGGGCAGGTGGGGACACCTCCTGGGCCCCTGACCCTGGCGCCCTGTCCCACAGGTGAGCCTGGACTCCCGAGTGCGAGAAGGCATCAACAAGAAGATGCAGGAGCCGTCCGCACACACATTTGACGATGCACAGCTGCAGATCTACACACTCATGCACCGGGACTCCTACCCCCGCTTCCTCAGCTCCCCCACCTACCGTGCCCTGCTGCTCCGGGGGAGCTCCCAGTCCTCCAGTGAGGCCTAGGCTGCCCATCACAGCGGCACAGACACGGGACCCCTCCAGTGGGCAAAAGACTGGGTTGCCTGCACAAGCGTGTGTGAGCAGGTGTCCGGCACACCGCAGGGGCCCAGCACCCGAGGGCAGTCCCAGACTGGAGCCCCCTCTCTACCCAAGGGACCTAGTACCCTGAGGTCCCGCTAAGAGGCAGGTGTGAGGGCCTCTGGGACCAGGCGGCCCCTCCCCAACCAGCTCCCCGCTGGCTGGCCAAGTGCTTCTGCTGGGGCTCCTGCTTGGGGAGAGGGACCCTCCCAGGAGTTCTCATGGACCCAGCAGCTTCACTTGGGCCTCCTCCCCAGGCAGCCGGGGACCTTGAGAAATGCCTCTGATGGGAAGCAGGGCCTCTGTATTGTCTAGTTGGGACGTGAGGAAACTCTCCGATTCAAGCTGTCTGCACCCAGATCGGAACCAGAACCTCAGAACTAGGCTTGAGGCAACAGGAGCCAGTTTCTTTTTTATATTTTCATTAATTTTAAACCTGGAAACATGTCCTTACTGTATTTTATCAAAAAAAGAAAATGTTTTCATATTTATCTCCATTCCTTTTTCATCCAAAATAGGATCTTATTATTGAAGATATTTTTAATGCAAACGTCTCTCCTTTCTTTCCACATCTGGGGGGAGATTCAGGAACGAAGAATTGTCCCAGACCTAGTGCAGGGAGCAGAGGAGACCTGGCCCCAGTGGGCAGCGGTGCTCAACACTGCCCCAGTGAGGGTGCCAAGGCCAGGGCGGGACGCTGATGGGGGTGGCCTCCACAAGGCACACGCTTGCCACCCCATTACCTGAATCTCTAGGAGGCGAAGCGATTCAAAGCTGTAGTGGGTCCAGGGCCCACCCCATTCACTCCGTCGTCAGGAGCAGAGGGTCAGGGTGAGGACAAGTCGTCATGAATGGCTAGGGGACCCAGAGGTAGCCTCCTGCCCATAAGCCCTGGGCCCTGAGCTACAGTGCCTGGGGAGGTTCGGGAGACCCTGGGTCCTCTGTGTGCCTAAGGCCCCCTCCCACCTGATCCCATGTCTGTGCATGCCCACGCCCACGCCGTGCACCCCCAGGACCTGCCCCTCCTCCATGGGCACACACAGGCAGAGTCTGCCCCCAGTGTTCTGAGGGCCCACGGGCTCTTCCCTCCATCTCTGTTCCATCAGGGCCAAACCTAAGTATCACCTGATCCCAAGGAGGAGGGTCGTCATCCCCCGTGGGGGAGGGGGGTGGGCAGGAGACCCAGCTCACAGCCCAAGACTGTGCATGGTCCGCCAGAACCAAGGGCCAGAAACTGCACAATGGCAAAAAGAAACATTTAATAATTTGGGGAGAAAGGAAGAAAGGTGTACTGCAGGCATGATGGGGGAGCAGGATGCACAGCCCCCTGGGGAGTTCAGGGGGGCACAGGGTAGGTCTCAAGAAGCAGTGTCTGTCTGTCGACAGGACGCAGGGAAGGCTGTGGCAATGTGCTGGCTGCAGCCCAAGGCTTCACACGCGTCTCAAGGAGGGCTCAGCAGAACTGCAGCAGACGGATGAGAGGCATCAGCCACATGGATCCCAGGACCCCCGCAGGGCGAGAGGCAGGGCTGGGGTCTCCACCCCCCTGCTCTGAAGCCCCAGGAGGCCAGCCGGGCATGTCTGTCCCCCATTTCATGTAACACGGGTCCCACACAGGCTGGACACACCCACCTCCCGAGAAGGCCTGCCCACCTACCTTCCAGCGATTTCCACACTCATTGCAGACAACAAAGGTGGTCATGGGCTCATCAGAGCTGCGGGTCTGCACCTGCGGGGAGGGCTGTGGTGAGAGGGGCTGCCCCAGCCCCAGGACTCAGTCACCTGGAGCAGGAGGCCCCGAGATGCAGGTCTTCCCTGGAGTCACAGCGAGGGGAGGCTACCCATCCCTTTGGGTAGCGCTGGCATTGCAGCCCCTCGGCCCCTCTGGGGGACCCCACTGAGGCTGCCCAGTGACTCCAACCCTTGTCCCCTTACCAGGGACCTTACCAGGGACCCCTGGCATATCTTGAGGTCCACATCAGCGCCCACCTCCATGGGTCTGAGCGTCGTCCTGTGGCCACTGCCAGGCTGCGCAGCACACCCACCCACCAGCCAGTAGCAACATTCCTGGGGCCCCTCCATGCTGGGGGAGGCCAGGCCCCCCATTTTAGTGCCCAGAGCAAACCACCCCCTGAGATGCTGCTCACTGGGGCCCACGGGTGCTGGGCAACGGAGGAGGCTCCAAAGGTGCCCTCCACAGTGTGTGCGTCCAAGGAGCCCTGGGGGCAGGCACGGGCTCCGGGGAGCGTTAGGTCAGGTGGCCGGGGCGCACCTGCGTGTAGGTGCAGTTCTTCCTCCTGCATTTCCCGCAGGTGAACAGGTCCGTCTGTGTGCCCCCCGTGCGGGCCATCTGGTGCTCTCGGATGGCCTCCTTGGTCATTGCCTTCCGGATCTCCTTCAGCTCATCACTGGCCATCTCCTGGGCAAGGAGCCATGTACTTACCACTGTGCACAGGGGCGGTCCCCACGCCCCTCCAGCAGGACTCACCTCCGATGTCATCACAGCGATCTGCTGGGGTGTTATGGCGCCACACAGTACGTTCCGTCGCAGGTCGGGGTTCTTAGCGTCCTTGAGGTTGGAGATGCGGCTCCTCACACGGTTTTTGTACTTCATGTCCGTGTTCCCCACGTCCCGGAAGATGCGTGCAAGTGTTTAAGGACCTATCCAGAGGCCAGTGCTGCTGCCTTCCACCCACCCCATGGGGCCAGCCGAGGGAGGCCAGCGAGGGCCACATGGGGGGAAGGGGAGCCCAGCAACTCTGTCTGCCCACCCACGCCTGCAGCAAGTGGAGGGGCAGCTGCCGGGGGCCCCCACCGGACCCACCCGTGGCTGAGGCCCAGCTGCAGGTTCAAAGCCCCGGTGACCCAGGCCCCACCAGCGGGCAGAATCAGTCCCTCAGCAGGTCCAGGGAGGGCCCTCCTGGTCCACCAACCAACCGCCTGGCGAGGGCGCTGAGGCCGTGGCCACCAGGGGAAGCCAGGCCTGGCTGTCCTCATGACTCCACCAGAAACCCCAGATCCCAAAGCCCCACATAAAGGATATATTCCTCAATCTGGGCTGACAGGCCCTCGCAGTCCGCACCGACGGCCATGTGATCATCTGCAAGAGGCAGCCCTGGCTAGCCACCCCACTAGCTGCCCCCCACTTCCAGCCTGCCCAGCTCCGAAGCCCAGGACCCAGGTGCTCTGGTGACCCCAAGGCCCCCTGCCCCCCACCCGGGGTCCGCTGCAACGGGCTAGGGGAGAAGGCTGTCCCTGAGGACCCTCTGAACTCAGGCCACCCCAGGACTCAGGGTGCACACTGGGGCACTCACGGTCTGTCTGCAGGGCGGCGGTCAGCATCTCGCGGCACTTGCTACGCACAGCATCGCAGGTGACCGGCACCGGGGGAAACGTGGTGATCCTTGGGGCCGATGGCATCCTGGGCAGCTCTGGCCTCTTGCGGCTGGAGAAAGACACACGGGTCCCCAGAAAAGCCAACGGTACAACCACAATGCCCCAAATCCTGTCTCTTCTACCTTCACAGCAGCCCATGGGCCTGCCCCCGCAGTCCAGCCCAGCATGTCCTCGGGGTCTGCCCAGTTGGCCAGAGGCAGTAAAGCCCACCGGGTGGGGCGTTCTGCCCAGAGGAGGGCACTATGGGGGCAGCATCTCCTGTAAGGGTCCCTGCCCTCCGGGAGGCCAGAACACCAGGCCACACGGCTCAATACCAGCTGCCATTTCAGGGAGAGGCAGATAGTGTTGGGGGTCGCCCCATCCAGCACAGATGCCCCTTTAAAGACTGGGCACTCCCCACAAGCTGCCTGACGACAAAGCTGCATCTACCCAGCCCTCCCCTCACACCCCTGCATCTCGTGACCCCCACATAAGTTAGGGGGAGCAGGGGCTTCCTGGAGGGAGCAACAGGTGCCGACGGGTAGATGAACCCATAGCCCTGCACAACCACACTGAATTGAGAGATCAGCCTTTGCTGGCCTCCCACCACCTCTGCCCAGTGGGGTCAAAGGCAAAGCAGCCTATGGGCCACAGCCTGTCCCCATGAGGACCCCCAGTCTCCAAGACTGCCCTCCCTGGGGCCGCAGCAGTGAGGCCTCAGCAGCCCCAGAACTCACGTCATGCCGCAGCCTGGGGCACCCAAGAGGAAAAGGGTTCAGCAGCAGTGGGACCCTGGGATAAGGGGTCTGCTCAACCAGAGCCAGCCAGTGCGAACCAGACCCCAGGACACGGATGTGGAGCTGGGGGACGGCAGCAGAGGGCTCCCACATGGCTCTCTGTGCAGCAGGGTGGACACAGCCCCACCCTGCATATGGTTGGGGCTGGAAAAACACAGGGTCCAGAGGAGCTCTGGAAGAGAAGCGAGCAGCAAGAGGCCTACCAGGCCAGGCAGGGCTCCCCGGGGAAAGTCCCTTCCAAGGAACTGGAAGGGCTGATGTGTTCAGCAGCCCCAGGGCACAGGGAAACCTGCACTTTCATCTGCTGAGCAGGAGGGACGGACTGGGGGGGGGGGGGTGGCACAAGCACCAGTATTCCAGATGCACCACCTGGGATCCTTGGCCTCGGGGGCCTCCTTCGAGGACGACGTGGGCAGAGGCCCGCCCCTCCTTTGCTCCCTGGCTTTGGCATCTGAAGCATCTGCAGGTACCATGAAAGGCAGAGGTTGGCCAGGGGGAAGCAGAACCAGAGGGCAGGGCCAGGCCAGGGAGGGGAGCAGATCACCACCAAGGCACAGCCTTAGTCAAGCCACCAGCCCTAACCCGCCCACCCTAACCCCAGCCAGGACCCTAGCTGCTGAGCCTTCCATACCTGGGGCCCTCTATCCTCCCTCCTCAGAAGGTCCTAAGACAGCCCCCACACTCCTTTCCTACCCCCTCAAACAGGCCACCTGTGAGGCCTCTCTGGGGTCCGTCATCCTGGCAGAAAGGACAGCCATCTGCCCAAAGTGACCCTTCAGTACGGAGCCCCCTGAGTGACAGCCCCCCCAGATGAAGTGTTTGAACTTGGACGAAGACCAGGTGTGGTCATTCCCCAGCTGGGCCTTGGGGGTCACAGCAAACCACCGACCACTGAGCACATCCCCCACAAGGCTCCTGAAACCCGAGCCTGTGCTGGGGACCATCCCACAGGATGAGAAGCATCCCCCACACACCAGAATAAACACACTTGTCCAACGCGTAGGCTGACGGCCACGCGGGACTAGAGAGACCCAGGACAAAAGCTCTATTTTGCAAGGTTTGGACAGAGCCCAGGAAAGGCTGGGAAGGGAGGGGGGCCTCAGGGTCCCAAGGTGGGCATCCCTGCGATCCCAGCTGCCCCCGTCCCGTCTGAGTGCCTGTGCCTCCTTCTCCTCTTCGCTCCCTGGCCTCCCAGCATCTCCTCCGGCTCCCTGCCCTCTAGCTGCGCTGACCCCTCTCTCTGTATGATCTCCCCACCTGTGCCAGGTCCCTCCAGGTCCCCGGCCACCCTCAGTGCAGTCCTGCTGCTACCTTCAGCGGTCTTTTCTCCTTACTCTCGATGGATCCCCTGTCGTCCCAGCCCCAAGCCTTCCTGGACCAGTTCTGGAACAACCCCACTCCCAGCTGGCCCGGGCTCAGGGACAGCACTGCCAGCACCCTACACAGTGCTGACCAGCGAGGGGCCCCAGTTCCCAGCCCGCGCCACCTGACCCGCACCCAGGAGCTTCTTCCAGGACTTGATGAGAGACTTGGCCAGCGCGATGACCTCCTCATCCGAGCTCTGCTTCCGCAGGGCGTTGACAGACATGCCGACCCGTGTAGACTGTAAGGCAAGCAGCCTGGGCTGGGGGGACGGCAATCAGACCCTCCTCACAGGCCCTCCGAGGCTCCCACAGGGCAGGGGCTGGGGACCAGCTTGTGAGGTGGATACCCTTTCCGAGGGCTACTGTCCCATGTGGAACCCAGGATCCTCAGCGAGAAACAGGGTGGGTTTTCCGTAGATGCCCCTTTGTCTTCCTGAGCAACAGACAGAAGCAGGGACGGTCTCCTCTGGGACAGACATTTGTGCTAACCAAGGCCCCGGGGAAGGGGCCAGGAAGCCCTGCCAGGTGCCCAGGAGCTGTCCCAGGCAGGAGGCACACAGGGCCCTACCTGCAGCAGGTGCAGCGTGACAGGCATGGCCTTCAGCTCCCGCAGCAGGTCCATGGCTCCCTCCTGGAAGGAGAAGGGGGACCTTCATAAATGACTTCGAGGTCTTGGTGGACAATGCAAGAGGGGGGCACAAGGAATAACAATTCGGAGATCCACCTGGGGCCACATGCCCAGGGAGGGCCAGAATGAGAAGGAAAGCGGGCTTGGCAAACTCAACCCCAGTGTTTTGGGTCACTGACCAAACCATGGTTGCAGGAAACAGCTCCAAGGACCGCAGCCCCTCCCCAGCAGGAGGGCCGCACCCAGGTGAAGGTGTGGCCCCAGGGGTACTCACTCCCCTGTCCAGTCTCATATCCCTTGCGGTGGGCTGGGCAGCTTCTCCTTGAAGTGGCTCACCCACCAGCCGAGAGGGGTCAACCCGAGCAAGATCAGTGTCCCCTGCAGAGGCCAAACACTCTACTCCCATCACACCCATACCCACAGCCAGATTCAAGTCCCATGGCCCCACCCTTCATCAATCCCTCTAGGCCTTGCCTTAATCCTCAGGCCAGCCACCTTCCCCACCTTGCCCCCTCCCACCCCCATCTGTTTCTTCAAAGCCCTCCCTCACACCAAGGCCATTCACAAATGGGCTGCTCTCTCCACTCCAGGCTCAGCTTAAGGTTCCTCAAGTGTGCCAAGTTGCTTGCCCCACGACTTTTGCACCTGCTGCCCCCACTGCCAGAAATACCTCCCAAATACCTACAGATTTGTACCCTTTTATTCAAAGGACACCTTCTTGGCAAGGCCCCTCCTACTTAAAACTGTGACCACACCCCATGCAACACACAACACCTCCAACCTCCTCCCCTGCTTTGCTTTCTTCCACAGATGCTTCCCTTTTTAACACACTGGTGTTTTAACATGTGGGTCTTCCCCTTGACATGAAGGGGGCAGAAGTAACCTGACCCAGACACTCAAGGTTGTGAGACCTTCATGTCTTGAAGCCCAGGCCTGGCCCTGCCCCACCCCCCACCCCACCCCCCAATCTGAGTGACATCTATGCTCTGCAGCCCCCTCCACATCACCCCCAGCAGGCTCTGCCCCTCAGGCTGGGCAGAGTCCAGCCCTGAAATGACCTCTGCAGGGAAAAAAGATGGTTGTCAGAGCCAAAGACACAGTGCCACTCACTGATCAGTTTTCTGTGGCTCCAGACCAGAGGCAGAAACCCAATTCCTGACTTCCCAATCATGGGTCCCAAATCCCCAAAGAGGCCTCCCAGGCACTGGAACCACTGCCAGCCCTCACTGCCCATGCCACAGTACCCTCAAACGCCTAGGCACGTTCCTGGTCCAGAGGGTGGTCAATGCCCCCTCCTCATGCTCTGCTGTGCTTCCACCTGGACACACCCTCCCCTAGCTCCACCTGGCCCCACCCAGCCCTCCGTGGGTTCTAGGACCCATCTCTGACCCCACCTGGGTGGTGTTGTCTCCTTCAGGAGAGGAAGCAGCTTCTTTCTCTGGTCATCTCTGGAAACAGCTCTAGGTTGTTCCCACACCCTTGCTCTGTGCTGCCCACGGTCCCCCGAGGGTATGAACTCAGTGTGTGTGTGTGTGTGTGTGTGAACAGTGTGTGTGTGTGTGTGTGTGTGTGTGTGTGTGTGTGTAGGGGGCTGCTGCTTGCTGGATGAATGAGTGGGAGACAGCCCCCTTTTAGGCCCCAGCGTAGAACCCTGTCCAGAACCTGGTCAACAGGGACCCAGGACAAGCCTGCTTAACCCAAAAAACCACCCAAAGCACCTGAGAGAGCCGACAGTCCTGGAGTGGCTGCCCAGGGATCTCAAGCCCATGACTGAGCCTCCTCCACCACCCTAACTAGTTGCTCACAGTCTGTGGGGGAGAGCAGGTTGTGTTTATTGAGCATCTCCGGGAGCCAGCCAGGACCCCTGCCAACATCCTAAAGGCAGGTACCACCCACCGAGGATGCTTCTATGTGAGGCTATGCAGGTTGTCTGAATCTCAAAGCTGAAAAGGGGCTGAGACTGGAACCCCATCTACCGGGTTCCTCTTAGATACCACAGCACAGCCCCCTCCAAACACTCACTGGCCACAGGACGGCACGGGCCGGGCACCACCGTGAGCACAGCTGGGCCGGGGCTCTATCACCAAGGCACTCCCAGGCCAGGCTCACCGCACCCCCCAGGGCTCCATCCCAAGGGTCTCTATGTATCTACCCACTCCCCAGTTGCTGCTGGCTGAGTGCTGGCTACGGAAGGGAAAGAATTTATTAGGGAAACCTGGTTCTTGTAGGGCAGGGACAGATACAGGGGAAAAAAGGGGGCCTCTAAACCAGGAAAGGCCTCTGGCCTGCTTGTGAAGGGGCTTGATGGGGGCCACAGCCCCAGGCCGACCAGAGGCAAGGGAAGCGCTGTAGCTCCGGGAGGGAAAGGGGGTCCAGGCTCACACTCCAAACTCCTGAAGGCTCAGAAAGGGTGAGGGAGCCTTAGGGTGGGACAGAGGGCTCCGGGCCGGGGTTGGGGCTCTGCGGAGAGTCCTGGGGTGGGGGTGAACTGTGAGGGTGCCCAGGCTGAGGAGGAGGAGGACACGGGGGGCGGGGCAGCCAGCACGAAACGTCTGAACAGGCTGGGGCTCCAGCAAGGCCTGGAGGGCGGGGCCGAGGGAAGCTTCCGCCGGCCGGGCTCCGGTCGGGTTGGGGGCGGGGGGTGGTCTGGAGTTAGGGGGCGAGGGAGGAGACGGATCTCAGGTCTGCGGGGTCTCGGCCTGGTAGCGGGGGTCTGAGTCCAGAGAGGGCGGCTCCCCGGACCGGGTCCAGGCCCGACCGCGGCCTCTGCCGTGGGTGCGGGAGTGAAGGGCAGGGCTGGCCCAGGGCAGGGGTCTCGGCCACCGACGGGGGTCTCCCCACGTCCCGGGAGTCTCTGCTGGGGCGGGGTCTCGTCCTGCCCTTCGGGTGGTCTCCCCGACCCTGAAGGGGGCTCGGCAGGCTCGGCGGGGGTCGGCGGGGCGGGGGTCCCGGGGTCCTGGCGGCCCGCGCCCCTCACCGCGCTCTTCTTGGTCACCATCTTGTCCAGCCTCCGGGCGATCCGCGCAATCTCCTCTTCCTTGCCCATCATCGCCTCGGGGGCAGGGCCCCCAGCGCCCGCCGCGCCAGCCTCAGCCTCCGGGCCTGGACCCCTGCCCCGGTCGTCGCCGTCGCCCGCACCCGTCACAGCCGACGCAGCCCTACCGCGGGCGGGAGACCCTCCGTTCAAACCCCCGGCCCCCGCGGTCGCCGCGCTGCATCGTGGGACATGCAGTTCCCACGGCCGCCCACCTCGCGCGCACTGGCCCCGCCCTGGACCACAACTCCCAGAAGACACGCAGATTTGCATGGCTTCCTGGGGAGTGTAGTCCTGACGCGGGCCGTCGCCGGAGGCCGACTGGGCCGAAAGACTCGCAGTCCCACAAGCCCCCGCGCGAGCCGGTTAGCCGGCGGAGGGCGCTGCGGTAGCGCGGGGCCAGAACGTACGTGCCGGTCCGGACGCGACCCCAGGTTTGTGCCTTCCCCGACCCTCCGCCCCGGAGCGCCAGGTGGTCCGACTGTGTAGGACCCATAGAGGCACGTTCGAGTTCGTCTCCTGTCTCCACCCGCTTGGAGCCTTCTTCTTCCACCTTCCGCTGTCCCAGGACAGCCGGACCCGCGGGAGGACTCCCGACCCCACCCCGCGAGCCTGCGCGGACCCCCTGCGCGGACCCCCTGCGCGCTCTGGCCTGAATCCTGGCCTCTGAGCCCTGGTGCGTGGCGCCCGGAGGTGGGAGGGGAGCTGTGGCCAGATGCGAGGGTCGGAAGATGCCTGGGACGGGGAGAGGCTGCGTGGGCAAGGCCCTGCCTCCGGAGTCAGCTGCCGGCTGTGAATCCCCGGCTCTGTGCCTCGGTGTCCCCATCTGTGAAATGGAGATGTTAATATTGTCTGCCTCACAGGGCTCCTTTCGGGGTGTCGTCAGTTGATAAACCTCATGCACTGAGAACAGGTCAGGGCACAGGCATGAGCAATTCAGTTGTCACCTTTGCTGCCGGAGGTCCCTGGGAATGGCCAGACTGCATTCAGTTGGAGGGATGGCCCTGGCCGGTAGAGGGCTACAGAGGGGCAGAGCGAGCATCCCCTCCAGGTGTCTGCCACGTCCTCAGTGATGCGATGCTGGGTGGTTTGCTGGACAGGGCACAATTCTGGGGGAGGGTACAAGCCAGGGAACTGATGTCTGTAGTGCTGTGGGCCCCACCCCACAGTCACTGAAATTCAGGCCAAGTAACTGTGAGACCGGGTGGCAGATGGGACGACCAGACGACTCCGGCTGACCAGGCCTTGGACTCTCAGTGGAATTAATTAGATATGATTGAGCTTCCCAGCAGCCAAAGTGAAAAGGAAAACATGGTTACTTATGAGATTCCTTAGTAATCATAAGGAAAAAGCATAGAGTTCCTTAGAGGGAGCAAAGGTTTTCCAGGACAGAGGCCCTGTGGTGGTGAACACATCACCTCACTTCCAGACCGGCTCTGAGCTGGGGCCATAGCTCTGACCCATCCCAACCAAGCAAGTCCTTAGATGGCCAGAATCCCCTGGTCTGGACATGTGTAAGCCTCTGAGGGTCTGGCCACACCAAGGACACTGGGAAGCTGGAGACACAGCCTTCAGCCCTGCTCTGGGCAAGCAGTGACGGTGAGAACCAGGAGCTGGCTGGGCTGCTGTACAACAGGCACCAGCAGGAACCCCAGAGATTCACGCTGACCCCCGTCGCCCACAGACACTTGTCCACGGAGGCCGCCCGGCCAGGCCTCTGAGACAGACGGGGAAGCCGCTTCGAGGATTTCCTGAAGCAAACTCACCATTGTGCTGAAGACCTCCAGCCACCACAACTGGGCATCCCGGGAGGCTGAGCTGAGCCATGGCTTCTGACAAAGCCTGGGCCACAGGGGAGGGAGGGCAGCATAGCCCTCAGCCTCTACCCTCTGGAGCAGGCAGATCTATGTCCAAGAGAACTCAAAACAGCTTTGGGTCCCTAAGAGTAGAATCAGAAAGGAGAGGGGCGCCTGGGTGGCTCAGTCGTGAAGCGTCTGCCTTCGGCTCAGGTCATGATCCCGGGGTCCTGGGATCGAGCCCCGCATCGGGCTCCCTGCTCCGCGGGAAGCCTGCTTCTCCCTCTCCCACTCCCCCTGCTTGTGTTCCCTCTCTCGCTGTGTCTCTATCAAATAAATAAATAAAATCTTTAAAAAAAAAAAAAAAAGAATGAGGAGATCAGGACAGGCCTCTCAGAAGCATCACCTGGTTGTGAAGATTTGTGCCAGACACCTGACCTTGGCCAAGGCATCAGTTGGGGTAGGGTCTGGGCCATCAGCACAGCCCCCTGGGGCAGGTCACTGTCAAGGCCCAGCTTCAGGGTCAGTCTCCATCTGATTTCTCCACAGGACAGATGGGCACCAGGTGCTGGGGAGGAGAGCAGGCAGGCAGACACCCTGGAAAACCAGTGGGGATTCACTCTTGACCCTGCTTGGGAAGACCTGCTGATGAGGGACTGTCCCACCATCTGTGCAAGGAACTCAGTGTAAGGAATGCCTCTCAGTGTGGGGCTGGTTGAATGGTTTAAGCCACAAAGATGTGACTAAAGTATAACTAAGGGAGCTGGTTAAGAATGAAGACTCTTAGGGGCGCCTGGGTGGCTCAGTCGGTGAAGCGTCTGCCTTCGGCTCAGGTCATGATCCCGGGGTCTTGGGATCGAGCCCCGCATCGGGCTCCCTGCTCAGCGGGAAACCTGCTTCTCCCTCTCCCTCTGTAACCTCCCCTGCTTGTGCACACTCTCTCTGTCAAATAAATAAATAAAATCTTTTAAAAAAAGACCCTTGCCTCTTATACTCCATGGGTGGGCTTTGAGGTCTTTGTCCCCAGTCCATAGGGTACAGAGGCACAGAACCCTGGCCAGCCAGGGTGGATACCGAGCAATGGGCACCCAGAGGAGGGCAGGGGCTCAGGAAGCTCGGGGCTGTGCTCCCAAGTGTGCAGACGGTGTCCCAGGACTGGGAGGTGGATGGTGGTCTGGAGTTTGTACCCAGCCCCTGTGATCTTATCCAAGCTGCTGAGAGGGACAGAGGCAGTGACAGGATAGAGACTGGGGGATGGGGGAGACAGGACAAGTCTGGCTGCTGAGGAGGGGCACTGGGTGGGGTGGGAGGGAGAACAGGACCCCGGGTCTCAAGCTGGGGGTCAGGGATGCACAGCCCGTCAGAAAAGAAACCAAGCGGGGAGGAATGTTCATGCCCTTCCCGTTGCCCTCTGGTGGAAGCATACAGTTGTTCCCTTGGTTTTGAAGCAATGACCCGCATCTCACAGCAGTGCCAGGACCGACCATAGCACAGACTAGAGCCACTTCCCGCCACGGCTGTCCTGCTGATGCTCCGGGCGCTCACTGCTGCTGGAGTCTGCAGCAAGAAAGAAGTGCTTAGACTGGGGTGCCCAGGGGACTCAGTCGGTGAAGCGTCTGCCTTCTGCTCAGGTCATGAGCCCGGGGTCCTGGGATCAAGTCCCACATCGGGCTCCCTGCTCAGCCTCCTTCTCCCTCTCCCCACCTCCTGCATGTGCTCTCTCTCTCTCAAAAAAAATAAAATCTTTATTTTAAAAAAGTGCTTAGGTTTCTATATCACACTTTTTTGTTTTTCTATATCACATATTTTAGGAAATATTTTGATAACTGTGTTTCACTGTAACTGGTTTCCTTTGTAACCCTATGAGCTTTACTTTCTGCACTGCCCCATTATGTGGCACCAAGGTAAGGACACGGAGGAGAGGAGGAGCTGTTGGCTGAGAACTAGGGCCCTTCCTCTACACCGCCATAATGGAAATCCTGGCCTGCCTTCCTTGGACCCTTTCTCCTCCATAAGAAACTAGATGGTCTCCACCTCCAGAGGCTCCAGCGATAAGCCACAGGACAGCTTGTAAGGAGCCTGGCATGTCTTGGTGGATCTTGACTGAGGCCCACTGAGGTTGCAGATGAATGGAGACCAAGACACTGGGGCCCCTGAAGGATGACAGCCAGGAGGTGGGGGCTCCCAGCAGAGGGCTGGGCTGTAGGGCTGCAGAGGCCATCCCAGGAGCCCAGCCCAGGGCAGGGCAGGTGATGGGGAACAGGTGGGCGCAGGTGGCAGAGGAGGCAGGGTACTTCCGAGCTGGAGACCTGGAGGCCACAGCTGTTCCCCTGTGACAGGAACCCTGAACCCTGGCAGGTCCAGTCCTGCATGGAAGGGGTATGGCCCCATGCAGCATGAATGGGAAGCCCAGGATCCAGACAGGGTGATCCTGCTGCGGGGCCTGTGTGGTCCATGATGAGCAGTGGCCTCTAGGTGGCAGGAGGGAGCCACAGACCAGCTGGCCAGCCAGGTGTCCGCTGCCCTCCGCTGGGGGAGGTGCAGTCCATTCTGGCCACAGCTGTGAAGCGGCCAGAGTAGGGCAGAGAGGGCCTCATCTGTGGGGGCTGTGGGGGCTCCCACCCTCACCAGGGCTAAAGCTGGGGCAGCACCCACCAATCCCCAAAGTCAGTATTCCACCTTCAAAGTCCCTGGTCTGGGGGCCCCCGTGAGTTCATGACCCTTGGGACCTTGCTCAGCACGTTCACAGCCCACCCCAGACCCCTCATGGACCCTACCCAACCTTGGGAACGTCCTCCTCCAAGAAGCTGCCTGGGCCCCCAGACCATCCGGTACCCTCAGAAAACTGCCCCCAGAGGGTAGCATCAGGACCGTGGGGGTTCTCCTGGAGGGGATTTATGTAAACCTGGCTGTACCCCACTAGGGCACTCCCCAGGGCTGCGGCCTTCCAGACCTTACCCTGACCCCTCTGCAAATGAAGAATTTCATTTCTCTTTGCTACCCACAAGCAACCCAAGTCACAGGGGACACAAAGTTGCTCACATGTGTGTACAATGCCATACCGGAGGTCCTCGTGCACAGACACTCAGAACCACCTGGGACTGTCCATGAGGTGTCTGTCTCCCAAGGACCGCTCAGCCGGGAAAACAAGGCCTTCCACCCACCCTCTGCCACATCCCTAGCCCAGGACACCTAAGAGTTGCTCAGTAAATATGTGTCTCGTGAAGGAAGGAAGAAACAATAGCACACAGGGGTGGGCAGGAAGGGACCCACACTTACCAGCCACCGCCCAGCAAGGGAGCCCCAAAGACAGGCCCCGCCCACACGCCCAGGGAGGGCCGGCTCCGGACTGACCTCCCCTGCTGCGTTGGGCTGAAGGCCTGACACACAGACCCTCCTAGAACCAGCCGGGGCCCTCCCCTGAGGACCCCCAGCCTCTCCTGCTGAGATGGGCCCAGGAAGGGCGGGGGGACAGAGAGCTGAGAGCCGGGTGGACCTGACAAGGTGGTGGGAGTCAAGGCAGGGCCTCGCTGGGTTGGGAGACTGAGCCATGAAAATGTAGATGTGTGGGTGGAGGTCCAGGGGCTCCTGACTGGAGGTCAGAGGTGAAGAGGGATCAGCAAGGAGCAAAGAAGGAGCCCCCAAGGGATGGGAGACAGAGTGCTTACCCCCCCAGACCCACCCCACCTGCGCTTCTCCAGAATGCCCTCCTGGACACTCCACAGGCCCACTGCCAGGGGCCCTCCCTCAGTGCCCATGATGGTCCCATGGGGCAGGCCCCACAGAAGAGCAATACGCAGGCCTGCCCTCAGGAGCCTCCTCTGTGGGAAGCCCGGCCCTGTCCTGGGAGTTCTGCCCTGAGAGGGACCTGGGGACACCCCAGCGACACCCCCAAGGTCCAGGACACAGAGGCTGGACCAGAGGCCCTCCCCCATCCTCAGTCCGGAAACATCGGAAGCTCAGGCCATTTATTTTTCTATTTGTGTCCCCTGCCCCCTGCCCGCCCAAAGCCGGCCGTGACCCAAGCAGGTCGCATCCGTGCTTCCTTTCTGGCTGAGGCAGGGGCCTCAGTGGGAAGGCCTGTGCTGCCGCACTCACACGGAGCCCCACCTCACTTCCCATGGCCCCAGAAGCCCCCACCCACCCCCTGCTACCTTTAGGCAGCTCTCCCCTGGCCTGGGCACCCAGCTGTTTCTGCACCTCGTCCACCAGACCCTCCAGCCCACCATGGGGGTTGCGTAGAGCTGTGACCCCAGCCAATCCCACTGAGGCATCCCTCAGGTCCTGGCATCTTAAGTCGGGCAGGGCGGCGCCCCGGGACTGAGATCCAGCAACAGCCCCCTGTCCCATGTGCTCTCAGACACCTTGGCTCTGCCACTGCAGCAGCCCTTTCTCTGGGCCTCAGCCTCTCAGTCTGCAGAATGGGAAGAGCTGTCCACCCAGGGTAACATCTTTAGGAAAGTCCCCAGCCCAGCCCATAGCCTTGGCCCCAGCCCAGCTCCCTTCCCCAGAGGCAGCACTTGGGGGAGGCAGGAGGCATCCCCCAGAGGCCAGCAGCAGCCCTGGCGGCCTGCTCCAGGCTTGAACAATGTGCTTCCCTCACACAATTCCCAGAAAGGCAGCCCTCCCTGCCCTGCCAGCCAGCCTGGCGGCCACTCCACCCTCCCCATCCCCAGGGGCCCTGGGCGGGGGGGGGGGGGGGGGGGGCGGGGGGCAGTGTCAAGGGTTATGGGTGAAAGGAGGAGGTCTGACTCCCAGGGCACCAAACCCAGGGGTCCAGGCACACCAACCCCGCTGCCCTCCTGGAAACTCCTCAGGGAGGCAGCTTTCAGCTGAGAAGCCAGGCCCACTCCAGGAGCGGACCCCCTCCCCTTCTTTCCTGGTGGTGAGTCCATCCTTCCTAAGCTGCCCAGGCCCATCTCCACACAGCAGCTAAGCTGAGGCTGTGGAAAGCTAAGTCACTTCACACCCTCCTCTGCGCAAAACCCTCCTAAGTCACCAACCCTCCTTCAGAGAAAAAAAGGAGACCCTCCCGGCCCTTACACAGCTCCCTGCCCACTCCCTTCTGCACTCCCTGCTCTTCCCACATATCAGCTCAACTCCCTGCCCCAGGGCCTTTGCCTGTGCTGCTCCCACTGTGAACAAGGCTCTCCAGATATCCCCTCGTCTCTTTTCCATGTTCCCTGCTGGGGTTGGCTCAAAAGTCACCTCATGAAGTGACAGGCCATGAGCACCCTGGACTCCACAGCCGGCAGCACCATTCTCCAGAGCACACATCACAGCCTGGCGCCCCACATTCTGCCTTGTTTGTGGATCTCTTGATTGTCCCTCTCCCCTAGAACAGGAACCCCCTCCCCAGGCAAGTGCTTGGGTCTGTTTTGTTCACTGTCTCCTAGAACAGAGCTGAGTTCATAGCAGGCACTCAATAACAAACGAATGAAGGCATGAATGAATGATTCCTGCCCCTGAGTGAGAAGGGATGGGTGGTCCCCAGGAACACAAGCTTGCCCCCCCAGCCCATTTGGCAGTCCCAGCTGGTTGGGCCATCAAAGCCACTTGTCACAAAGCTAGGGCAGCAGCAGAAAAGAAACACAGCTGCAGGGCCCACTGGGGCTCTGCTCCTTCTCTGCTCCATTCCCAGGGCAGCAGAGGACTGTCACCAGAGCCTGGCAGGAGAGAGAGAGGCCAGGCCAGCCCAGGCAGGGAGGTCAGGGTGGGCACTGCCCAGGACACCCAGACAGCCCCACCTCCGCTCCTCCAAGAGCCCCTGAGGGGAGCAGGGCACAACTCCTGTAGGACTGGGACACCTGCAGACCCAGACCCAGGACACCCTGGTTTGAGTAAAGACAGCCATGGCAGCAGCTGCCCCGAGCCCGGACTGGGTGGCATGCGGGGCGGGGGGTGGGGGCAAAGCTGGGGGCAGGAGCTCCAGGCCCGGCCCGCCGGACGACTGGACAGACAGAGTGTCTGGCGCCTGCTCAGCCAGGCTGGCCCTCGGCTCCCTCCTCACAGCTGTGGCCTTCCTTCCTGAGCCGGCGTTTCCTGGCTCCTCCCTGCTGTTGCCACGGAAACCTAGAGCCTGGTTCCCATGGAGCCCCTGCTGAGCCTGAGTGGGGCCCACACAGCTCGCAGAAACCCCCAGGACACACAAGGCCACACCACTCCGCCCCAGGGTTCACAGAGCCCAGCACCCCAACTCAGCTAGAGCAACACCCCAGCCTCTGCAACAGCCTCGACACCTGGAACATCACAGAGTGCTCCGAAGCCTCCTCTATCACCCTCCTCACACCCACAAGGCCCTGTGCCCCCCACCTGTTCAGTCCTGTTGGCCCCCGTCCTCGTCACACACCCAAAATGCCCACAGTGACAGCACCACACCCACCCCCTCTGCTCACCCACCACAAGCCTACTGACACCCTAGTCCCCAAAACACCTGGCTCGGCCCGCGACTCAGGTCCACTGACGCCAAACCCGACCCCTGTGACGGCTGCAGCCGGTGAGCCCCCTCATGCCCACCCCGCCCACCTCTTCCCTTCTGGAAGTCCAGTGCTCTGTGCACACCAGGCCTAGCATCCTGGGGCTGAGAGCAAGAAGGCCCAGGGAGCAGCGCGGGCCCCAGCGTCCACCTGGACCAGGCCCCTCACTTGGGGAGGGACACGCACGTGTATACTTCTAGGCTATTGGGCATCTTCCTCAGAAGCCCTGACCCCTGGACAGGGGTCGGGGGTGACCTGTACCCTGTACCTTGCCTTCCCCGCCCCCTTCCCTAGCCCTTGCGGCGGGGTCTGAAGGAGGAGCCCTGGTCTCAAGGACCCTGAGGTGGGATCTGAACTGAGCAGCCTGACTCCAAAGCCAAGGTCTCAGGAGACAGAAGACTCCCCTCCACCTGGACCTGTGTCTGACGGGGACCCCACCCCCACCCTCCAGGAGAAGGAGGGTCCGGCCCCAAGGGATTCAGTAATTGGTCCCAGCCTCCTGCTCCTGCAGCAGCCAGGGCCGGGTGGGTGGGAGCCTGTGAGGTCTGTGCCCCGGGCAGCGCCTGGGAGGTCTGCCACTCCCAGAGCCCAGCCACCCCCCCACCCAGAGCCACCGAGGGGGACTGCCCAGCATCCTTTGCAGGCTTCACCCAGAGCCTGGGGGTCTGGTCCTAGCTGAGCAAGGGAGTGGGTGGAGGCCAGGGAGGGCAGTGTCCACTCAACACAGGCCAGCCCCACACTTGCAGAGAAAGCTTGCCCCTCTGCTCCACCTTTCTGTCTGGGGACTTGGGGGCTGCACACAGGGACCCCATGAGGGTGGGCAGTAGCCAGTCTGGGCCAGGCCAGCCAGAGGCGGGTTCTGGAGACACAGGAATGCCCCAGGCTCACAAACCACCCCCACTTTGGCTGGAGTGTGCTCTTGCGGACCCCTCCCTTGGTGGGTGTTGAGGGTGAGGACTTCACTGGGCAGGACCCCCATTCTACATCCCGTGGGACCCCATCTCATGGCAGAGTCCAGCCTCTGCCTGGCTCCAAAGGCCTCGGGCAGACTCCAAAGCCAGAGTCTACCTCACCCCTCATGCAGGCAGACACAGACCTTCCCCGTCACACAGACCCCACAGACCACACACAAACACACAGACACACACATCTGATGCCCCTCCCCCCAGCACAGCTGACCACACCCATACCAGCCCTTGTAGAGCCCTGGGGAGTCCCCCAGCCCTGTGCCTCTGAGGTCAGGGCCACCCCGACTGCAGTCCCCACCCCCACTGTCTTCCCATCTGGACAGTGGGCCAGAGCCACCATCCTGACCCGTACCAGGCAGCACACACACAGGAGGGACAGCCTGACTCCAAAGAGGCAGGGGCACCCCAGGAGGCTCTCCTCTTGCCCTGACCAGCCTCAGCCCACAGGACATGACAGCTGGACACCTGAGTAGCCCAGCTCTGCCACGAGGGAGGGTTGTTGGCTGGTGCCAGGCGAGGCGGCGCTCCTGGGGGAGGGGGCAGTGTAGTGGTGAGGTAATGCCGATGATGCCCACAACTGCATTTGGAGCCGCTTGGTCAACTCTGGGCTGTCAGGAGCTGCAGAGGGCCAGGCAGGGCTTCTACAGGATCCGAACATCCACCCTAATGAGGGGAGAGGCTGCAATGGACCACCCTCTAGGTCTCCTTCCCAAGTGACCATCATCCCAGACCAGCTACTGCCCAGGCTAAACCAGGCCCTGGTAACCCCAGTCCACACCTAGAAGGTAAAGGTGGTCTCTAGCAGGGGCTGGCTCCTTGGACCATTCTTCCAACCTAGAGTCTTCCTCACACATCTCTCCCCCCACCCCCTGCGGGTGCCCAGTCCACCCACTGACACTGGTCAGACTGGGAGAGGACTGTGCACCTGCCCACCCCAGGGCCCCGCATTCTTGCTGCCTCCCAGGAAAAGCTAATCTTCCCTCTAGACCCAGAGAATCCGCTTCCTGGTGCCTTGAGTGCACCAGCACAGGCTCCACGTCGTGAGCGAAGCTGTGGGGCCTGGGGAATCTGGAAACCAGTCTGGGACACCCAGGGCTTTACTCCCCCAGCCGATGGACAAGACCCTACATGACAGAACCCCATGGAGAGAGGGGATGGACACCCAACAGCCCTCAGGTTGAGGGACCCCTGTGGGGGTGCCTGCCTTTCCTCAAACCAGGAGGGCCACGGGGGGCCAGGCGGGGGGGCTGGAGGACCCACCCCATTCCTAAGCACTGACTTTGTGGCTTAGCAGCACGACAAGGGCCAGGGAACTGAGGGCCTCTAGCCACACAAGCCCAGGGTCACTGACCCCTGCGGTCATGCACCATGGAGCTCCCAGCGCTTGCGGTGTTGGTGGGAAGGAGGGCTGCACAGCTTCCAGGCTGTATAAATGGATGTACAGGAGGGAAAACTCAGATCCCACCCCAGAGCTGCTGAGCACACTCATTCCAACCCCAAGAGAACCGTCCTCAGCTGGACAGTAGGGAAACAGTCCTGGGGGACACCCCTCAGACCCCTCAGTTTCTGGAGCCCAGGTCCCCTCCCGGACTTCCAGCAGGCTGGAAGCTCCTCTGGAAACCCTCCCAGACTTCTTGGCCCAGGGGAGGGGCCCCCCTTTCCCCTCCACCTGCCCCAATCCTGGATCTGGCTTCACTCTATTGTGGTAGCAGTGGCCTGAGCTGGGCAGGGCAGCCAGTTCCTGCTGGCCCCAGCCCCTGACCCCAACGGGCCCCGGAGAGGGGGAACAAGGCCTGGGGCTCTGCACCTTCTCTGGAGGTTCCTCTACTCTCTGGTCTCCCTTCACTCTGGTATGGGTCCAGGGCAACCAACGCTGAGGTTTGCCCTGTTGGGAGTGGGCTCCGGAGCCATGCAGGGAACACGAAGTCCGACTTCTTGAACCCCATGGACAGACACGGGCTCGAAGCCCCCAGTGGTGAAAATTCCACATGTGTGTGGAGGGTTGGGGACATGATGCCCTGCGGTTATCCAGAACACGCTCCCCCAAGATACAAGGCGCTTTTTCCAAAGTGCCCTGTCCTTTTGAGCTAAACCCCAAGAAGGCTTCTTGGGAAGCCTCCCAAGAACATGGATTAAAATATGCCCCTCTCCTCCCAATGTAATTTCGTGAGGGGGCAGCCACCCTCCCCTAATTACCGTCCGGGGGTCTGACTCCGTGGGTGGGGACGGCAGCTCATCTCTGAAAGTCTGACAGCCCCCATGAGGATGCCCCCTTCCAAGCTCCAGCCCACATCAGCGGCCCATTCCCACTCGGGGTGGGGGGGGAGGGGGTCCTTCCTTCAGAGAGGGTGCGGGGGCAGCTGCGCGGAGGAGGCTGCGGTGGAATCCGGCGGGCCCGAGAAGAAAGGGAGCCCCCGGGGAGGGGGCCGGCCCCAGCCCGCCCCGCCCCGCCCGCCCCGCCGCCTATTGGCCCCGCGCCGCTATATCTGGGCGCCCACCCGGCTCGAGGCCACCGCCGTCTCCGCCGCCGTCCGCCCTGCCCTCCGCGCCCGACCCCGAGGTGCCCGCTATCCGCCCTCCGCGCTCCCGCGCTCCGTTCCGACCAGGCCGCGCCCAGCTGGAATGCAGAGATCGCCGCCCGGCTACGGCGCACAGGACGACCCGCCAGCCCGCCGCGACTGTGCATGGGCCCCGGGACCCGGGGCCGCCGCTGAGCCGCGCGGCCTCCCCGCCGCCCCCGCTGCCCTCGCAGCGCCCGCCGCCCCCGCCTCGCCGCCCAGCCCGCAGCGCAGCCCGACGCGAAGCCCCGAGCCGGGGCGCTATGGCCTCAGCCCGGCCGGCCGCGGGGAGCGCCAGGCGGCCGACGAGTCGCGCATCCGGCGGCCCATGAATGCCTTCATGGTGTGGGCGAAGGACGAGCGCAAGCGGCTGGCGCAGCAGAACCCGGACCTCCACAACGCGGTGCTCAGCAAGATGCTGGGTGAGGGGCACGGGCGGGCGGGGAAGGGTGAGCTGAGCGGTCGGGGGAGGAGGGACCTAGCGCAGGGGTGGGCCAGGGCGGGCGGGGGCCGCGCCCCACCCTCGCGGCGCGCCCAGGGCACACGCAGGGCCCGGCAAGCCGCCGGCCCGACGGCAGCCCACTGACCCGCGCGCACTGCCCTGCAGGCAAGGCGTGGAAGGAGCTGAGCACGGCGGAGAAGCGGCCCTTCGTGGAGGAGGCGGAACGGCTGCGGGTGCAGCACCTGCGAGACCACCCCAACTACAAGTACCGGCCGCGCCGCAAGAAGCAGGCGCGCAAGGCCCGGCGGCTGGAGCCCGGCCTCCTGCTCCCGGGCCTGGCGCCCCCGCCGCCGCCACCCGAGCCCTTCTCCGCGGCGCCTGGTCCGGCGCGTGCCTTCCGCGAGCTGCCCCCGCTGGGCGCCGAGTTCGACGGCCTGGGGCTGCCCACGCCCGAGCGCTCGCCGCTGGACGGCCTGGAGCCCGGCGAGGCCGCCTTCTTCCCGCCACCCGCGGTGCCCGAGGACTGCGCGCTGCGAGCCTTCCGCGCGCCCTACGCCCCCTCCGAGTTGCCCCGGGACCCCGGTGGCTGCTACGGTGCGCCCTTGGCCGAGGCGCTCAGGACCGCGCCCGCTACCGCCGCGCCGCTCTCCGGCCTCTACTATGGCGCCCTGGGCGCGCCCGGACCGGGCCCGTACCCCGGCCCGCTGTCGCCACCGCCCGAGGCCCCCCCGCCCGAGGGCGCCGAGACGCTGGGGCCCGCCGCCGACCTGTGGGCCGACGTGGACCTCACCGAGTTCGACCAGTACCTCAACTGCAGCCGGACTCGTCCCGACGCCGCGGGGCTCCCGTACCACGTGGCGCTGGCCAAGCTGGGCCCGCGCGCCATGTCCTGCCCGGAGGAGAGCAGCCTGATAGCCGCGCTGTCCGACGCCAGCAGCGCGGTCTACTACAGCGCGTGCATCTCCGGCTAGGCGGCCGGCGGGGCCCGGGGCTTGCTCCCGCAGCTAAGCGCAACTGGATTGCTGTGCACTCCTGCTCTGTCTCTCTCCCGCAGGCAGGCCTAGGTCTCCCTGCAAGGGCGGTTCCCACGTGTGCTGGGGCTTTTCCAGGAAGCCCAGGCCTAGGGCCTGTTGGCTGGCCCCGCCAGGGTTAAGTTTTTGAAGCGTCTAATTCTTTTCTTGCAGTGTATTTTCTAGAACCAGGCTGTATTTTTTACTTTGCCTTTTTTTTATATACATAATACAACGTATTTAATTTTTAATTAAACTTTTTCTTCCAAGGGGTTTTAGTGACCAAAAGCACCAATGTAGCAAGGCTTTTTAAATATGAAGACTACCACTGTTTGTTTGCTTTACAGGAGAAGCAGGAGCTGGGTCGCCCCTGGGCCAGGCGAGGCCACAATAAAGTGACTCGCTCTTTCCTCTGAACACCCGAGTCTGTGGTCGTTGGGGGAAGGGGGACCGGTACACCCAATGACCCTGGACGTGCCTTTCCCCCAGAGAGCCCCCTCCTCCCCGCTTGGGCCCCGAAGCACCCACTTCTCCACCCTTCCAGGCTACGCAGCAGAGTTGGTGGGAGGCATGAGGTGTGGGTACTCCCCACCCCCCCAGCCTTCCATTCCCCTCCTGTCCCAACCCCCATTTTAACTGAAGCCTAATAGGGATCAGCAGTCCCCCCACACCCCCACCCAGGTTTCCTCATCCTCATCTCCTTTTTAAAAATTTCTTCTAAATGAATAAATACATACATGAAATAAAAAATAAATACATAACTAAAACCTCCTTCAAGCCCAGGGACTACGGCTCAGGGCTGTCCTCCTCTCCAAAGGAGGGTGGCAAAGGTTGACACCTCTAACAGACATGGCACCCTGGTGCCCCGTCTGTCATTTTTAAACCAGAGTCCCCAGAAGGGGCAGCACCGTGACAGCAATGCTCTTCCCACAATGACCTGTCCAGGCTCTGCCCAGTGACAGAAGGTCAGTGACCTGAGCAGGGAGGCTCAGGACTCTCACGCTAGCCCTTCCCCACTTGCAGCAGCCCATATTCCTTGGTCCCCTGCCCCCCACTGGGGAGCTGATCTCTGACACCCTGCTGTGGAAAAGGCTCTCACAGCTCAGTGTCCCGTGTTTGCGTGAGGCGCGTGGTTCTGCAGGGGCTGTCTGTGCTCCATGAGAGCAGGTGAGCCAGCACATCCAGGCGTGTGTGCACGGGGGCTCCGAGCGTGGGTGTGATGCTGCGACCATGTGACCACGGGAGCACCCATGAGGGTGACCGCGTGACACTCCGTGTCTGCGTGCACACAGTTGTCCTGTGAGTCTGCGGCTGGATGTGCGTGTGTCCACCCAGCGGTTGGAGGGCAGGGGGGTGGTGAACAGGCTGTGGGGCTGTTTTTCCAGGTATCTTGCCTCTCAGAGGCAGTGATGTCACCTCTGTGTTGACTGGCAGGAGCTCCACACGGTGGCCTGGCCGGCAGAGTGGGGTGGTGTCCCTGCGCCCCCTAGCCCCGCCCCATCAGCAGCCAGGTCCAGAAAACCCAAAGACAGAGACATAAAAGAGCAGAAACAGACAATCTGAAGAGGGCAGGAGATGAACCCCCCACTCGTGAGTGGGTGGTGGGGGCACAGAAAGAGCCACAGGACCCCAAGGACACCGTCTGCTCCTTCCGAGTGTGCGTGACAAGTATGGTGCACGGCAGGGACACCAGGGCACAAAGGGGAAAGGGTGGTCCGCTCCAGCCACATCTGTCATGGGCTTGGGGGGTGGTGCTCTGAGGCCCCAGAGCCTGAGTCCTGGGCTCATGCATGGAGAGAAATGCGCATGACCCTTGAGTGTACTTCACCAGCTCTCATGGCCCAACCCCTGCTCTGCTCTGGGCCTGTCCCCTAGAGCCCTGGGTCAGCTGGACCAAAGTGTGCCCCACTGTGGGGACCCATAGCAGCCTGAGTCCAGGAGCCTCTGACCCAGGTGTGGACCCTCCCCTCCCCTCACTCCACCCACTGGCCTGGCAGGCAGGAGGCAGAGCCCGCCCAGCTTGTCCCGTTGCTCACAGCCATGTGAACAGTCCCACTAAGGACCTCCCTGCCTGGGCTGAGGCACTGTCCATTGTCCCCCCTGTCGTCCCACCGCAGAGACACCCATGGACACACAGGGAAAGTGCCAGACAAGCAGACATGGCCAGCTGTCTCTCCTGTTTTCTGGCACAGGCTGGAGCAATGGTCTCCCATCCTCCGTTCTGGGCTCTTAACCCCACCCCCATCCCACCCAGAAGGTCCACCCTTCCAGGCCCCTCGGGGTCAGTAGGAAGGGGAGCCACAAGGGTGCCTCCAGGGGACAGAACACACCATTGCCCCAGTAGGGAGAAGGCAGAGCAGCCTGATGCCTAGAAGCCCCTCCCACAATGGCGGGGCAGGCGGCCAGTGGGGGGCCCAATTTGGAGCAGTCCCCATCGCCAGGGGCTGGGGGAGTCCAGGCGCAGAATCAGAACATGGGAGGGCCTCCCACAGAGAGCAGCTGTTTCCAATAGCAGCTCCTCAGCAGTGGTGGGCCAGCACAGGAGGGTGGGTAGGGGTCTCCTCAAAGGACCCCTGCCCAGCGCCCTGCCTGGGGAGCTCTCCAAGGGACCTGGCTTTACCCAGGCTGGACAGAGCTGCTGTCCTGGGTGGAACCACAGCCCCGGGGCCTGGGAGGCTCCAGCCCTGGGTCAGGTTTCCCACTGCTCCCCCTCCTGGCTCCACCCACCTGCTTCCAGGAGGGTCAGAGAAGGGAAGTCCCCACCCCCAGCTCCCGCTGAGTCAGGCTGGCCAGGAACAGACCCTGGGGCCTAGTGCCTGGCAGGAAGTTCTAGCAGCCCTGCCTGGCACAGGCCACAGCTCCCACGCCCAGGACCCAGCCTGGACCTGGAAGGACCTGGGCCCAGGTGTCGAACCCTCCCCAGCAAACGGCCCAGAGGAGGAGGTCAGGGAGGCTGGGAGCAGGTTAGGTGCACCCTCTCCTGAGCAGACATGCTCATCCCCTGAGACACATTTAAGGACACCACACACACCACCAGCCACACAGCCTACCAGGGGTTATGTCAGGGCCAAGGCTGTGCTTATTTGCCCAATCCCAACAAGGCCATGCTGGGCAGGCAAGGATGGACTTAAATCACCCTCCTCTCAACTGGACAAGCACTCCAGACAATCCCACCACATAGCCCACATTCTACAGAAACTACATAGGATTTTGGCAGAGAAGTTGGTGGTTTTAGTGCATGGAGAGAAACGTGCAGGGCTGTGCAGCCTCCACGCCTCTCATTCCAATGTTTTCCCAATTCCTCAGCAAGAAGCCCTCACTTGTGAGCGGTGACTCCCCAGCCCTTTCTGACCCCAGCCCCCTTCCCTGTGGTTTGCCTATTCTGGACATTTCACAGAAATGAAATCATACAATACGTGAATTTTGAGTGTGGCTTTGTTCACAGAGAGTAATGTTTTCAAGGTTCATCCATGTGGTCGTGTCCTTCATTCCTTTGTAAGGCTGAGTAATATTCCACTGTGTGACTAGACCACACCCAACGATGTGCGCTGAGATTGTTTCCCTGTTCTGCAATTGTGAACGTTTGTGTACAAAGGTGTTTTCATTAAAACCGCACACATTTATATCTCTAATGACAGAGTCTGAGCAGGTAGGTTAAGTACATTAGAACAGCTGCTCCCAGAAGGGGAGTCCAGAGCAGCTGACCTGCAAACCCAACAGCCAAGCCCAAGGCTCAGTCCCCCACTCCTGCCCCAGGCTGGGGAGGGGCCCCATGGGCCAGGCTCCAGTCCACAGAGGGTCTTGGCCAGGTGTGTGGGAATCCCTGGCCCAGGACTGGGGAGAGAGCGGGGGGGATGCCAAGGCTCTTCCTCATTGTGTCCGCAAGTCCGCTGGGGCTCCCCCCCCCCACCTCTAGCCCTGCGAGGAAGCCAGGCAGGATGCCGTGGGCCAGCTCAGCACGGCGGGAGCTCCCTGCCCTCCACATGTCTCCCGTGACCCCACTCTGTCCCCCACGACCCCGTCCCCAACCCTCATCACCCAAACCTGTGCCCCAGGACCCCGCCCCGTATCCCACGCTCCTGCCAGCCTGCGCGCCCGCCCGAGAAAACAGGAAGGGGTGCGCGGCGGCGGCGCTGTGAGGAGGTGCAGGAAGTGGCCGCCGGTGCGGAGCTTATCTTGGGCCACAGCCGGGGACCCCTGGCCTCACGCCCCGCATAGGCCCGGTGGACCAGAGGACAGGGCCTGCTCACCTGGCGAGGAGCCCCGGCCACCTCCCCCCAAGCGACGGTGGTCACAGGCCAGTGACAGGCCTTCACAGAGCCAGGCTATGCAGCTGCACAGATGTGAGCAGAGGTCCCATGGAGACGCAGCTCAGGGGCGCCTGGCGGGCTCAGTGGGAAGAGCCTGCGACTCTTGATCTTGGGGTCGTGAGTTCAAGCCCCACGCTGGATGTAGAGATTACTAAAAAAAATAAACTTAAAAAAAAAAAACAAAACCCACAGCCCAGAGGTGACTCAGGGGCCAGTGTCCAATCCCAGGCTGGCCCACCTCCCCCACAACACACTCCCCTTCCCAGGTCCTGACCTTCCCATTTCCCCCAAAACAAGGACTCACTTCCCCCAGCAAGTGTGAATCCCTGCTGGTTCTTCAGGAGGAAGGCTGGGGAGGTGGGGGTTCATTGGGGTTGGGGGGGATGATGGTTGTTGTTTGCTTCTGTGTTTACAAAGCTGGGTCTTTTCCTAGGGAGGGGACAGGATGGGGACTGTCCCTGGGAGCCCCCCAGGGTCCTGCAGGCCACTGGCAGGGACAATGGGCTGCAGCACCTGGCATACACCCCCCACCCCCGAGTATTTGCTTTGTTTCCTGGTGTGGGGGACCTTGTTTGTTCCCACATCAGCCACAGATGGCGCAGGCCGCCTCCTTGCACACCTGCAGACCAGGGGACCCCACACGCAGATTCACATGCAAGGGCCAAGTGCCAGGCAAGGCCAGCACACCCTTCAGGTCTGGGTGCAGGTGCTTCCTCCTGGCCTGAGTGTGGCCCCATGCCTTCTCGGCGCCCAGAGCCAGATGCAGGGCCTGGCTAACTCACATCCTGTCCCACAGCTATGGCTCCAAGAACATGGGAGCCGCATCTGTCCAGAGTCTGGGCAGACACTCATCTTTCCCACCACCTCCCCTTGCTCGGTCAGGCTGCACTGGTGGACCATAAGGGAGGGGACATGGAGGGAGGTGCTGGGCAGGGCAGAGGCCGTCCGCCACCCTCAGAGGGGGCAGCACACTGGGCTGGCACGGACCCCACCCCATGTGGTCTTTGGCAGCCTGCAAAGAGGCAGAGGTAGGAAGTGGGGGTGGGGGGAGAGGAGCATGTGGGCGGGGGTGGGGAACACACAAGTGGCAAAGTCGGAATTAACTTTTTGGTTTTCAAACCCAGAGACTAGTTTGCCAGTCGCCCGTGTTCCAGATGTTCTTTCAAAGGCTCCCAGTCTGGGGAGGCTGTGGGACCAGGCTACCCTTCAAAGTCTGCCTGGCCCCCCTCCTTTTGGCGCTGCACATGGGGGGTCTGGCTCCCTGGCTTCAGGAAGTTGCACAACCCCGGCCCGTGCCCTGCGGCCCCATCTACCACCCTGGCACGGCCCCTCCTTCTGGGACCCAGCCCCCACCTCCCTGGAAGCAGCTGAGAAGGCACATGTACGGGACAGAGACACGATGCCACGCGGCACAGGCCCCAACCCATGCCCCCGGCCTCAGCAAGGAGGGACACGTGGCACAGGCCCACAGCTCTGTCCTGGTTGTGTCCCTCGTCTCTGTTGGTTCTGGTCAGACCCAGCCAGCGGCTCCTGAGCAGCCTGTGCTGTGGGGAAAAAGCCACAAAGGGGGTCTGGGTGCTGAACCTGCAAGCGAACACGGTGGGGTCTGAGTGGGGCACCCCCCAGCTTTCCCTCTGCTCTCTGTCTTGGCAGGTCACTGTGGCTCTATTCCCGCCCCCAGGCCTGGTCTGGTTGGGATAGCCACACCCTGGACAAGTGAACTTTGTCCCAGGAGCCAGAAGCCCAACTTGCCACCATCCTGTGTGAGCAATGACGTGGCCGTGGTGGGATGGTGGCCCCAGGAGAGTGAGGTCCACCTCCCAGAGCCTGTGGGTGGGAGCTTATTTAGAAAAAAATGGTCTTGGGGCGCCTGGGTGGCTCAGTCGGTTAAGCGGCTGCCTTCGGCTCGGGTCATGATCCCAGGGTCCTGGGATCGAGCCCCATGTCCGGCTCCCGGCTCGGCGGAGAGCCTGCTTCTCCCTCTCCCTCTGCCTGCCACTCTGCCTACTTGTGCTCTCTATCTCTCTGTCAAATAAATAAATAAAATCTTAAAAAAAAAAAAGAAAAAAAGAAAAAAATGGTCTTGGCAGATGTGACTCAGGATCTTGAGGTGAGGAGGTCATCCTGGATCACCCACGTGGCCCTTAGCCCAGTGGCAAAGACCCTCACAAGGAGAAGGCCACGTGAAGGGAAGAGCCTGCAGCAGCTGCAGGAAGCCAGGATGGATTTGCCCCAGCAGGGAACACAGCCCAATGACACCTTGATTTCCAACCCATGACAATGATTTTGGATTTCTAGCCTCCAGAACCGTGAGGGAAGAAGTTTCTACTGTGTTAAGACACACCATTTGTGATGATTTGTCACAAGAGCCCTAGGAAACTGATACAGTGTGAGATATGGGGACAAGGGCCCAGGTCTCCACACCCATAACGCTGGCTTATCATCAGGGGGGTTGGCAAGACATGCGGGGCTTCCGCCCAGCATGGACGCCACTCACTAGGGCAGAAAGTGGATGGGGGGGGGCTCACGCTGAGAACAAGTCGGGAGAAAGCCTGGGGGCACTGGGTTCTGCCGGCTCAGGCCACAGGCCTCCACTCCCTGCCCCGAGGTGTTCAATTTGCCAGGACAGACCAGAGTTAGACTTCAGGAGGGCTGCCTGAAAGAGGGAGGCTCTGCCAGGCAGGGGCCTGGGCTAGATCTAGGACACACACACCTGGGTGCACATACTCACGGGCAGCCCCTCGGCACACCGGTGCATGCACGCTCACACACGTACACACGCCTGCGGGTGGGCTCTGGCAGGAGCCTCCAGGGGAGAACAGTGGGGTCAGGGTGCCCATTCATGTGGTCATGGTCTAGGGCTCAGGGATTGCATCCCCAAAACTCTGAGGCCTCTGCTCCCCGTCCCACCGCCCCCACCCCAAGCTGCTCTTCATTTGAACTGTCCTCAGGCATCCGTGGATGGAGGGGCTGCACTCTTGCCCACCTACCTCTCCCCAGGACAGCCCGACTGCTCTCAGCAGCAGAAAGGGGGTGCTGCGGGTGGGCAGCAGGCCTGACAGCCCAGGAGGCTGTGCTCAGGGTCCATTAGGAGAGGAGTGCTGTCCCCATGGGCTCTGGGCCGGGGCAGATCTACGTGTAAGGAGCCCCTGGGGAAACAGGAGCAGGGTGGGGGCCTCCAGAGAGAGTCTGTCCCCGCCCTGTCCCTGAACCCACACCCCTGGACTCTCTTACTGACCTTCAGCCCTCAACCCAGTGACCCCACACCTTATGCTCCAACCCAATTGGATGGGCCCCCCCCCCCCCCCCCCCCATGCAGGCAAGGGCCCAGGCTGGGGAGCCAGCGACAGGAACTGCACCACACACGTCTGCTCCTCTATCAGCCCTCTCCAGGTCCCACACAAGGACTCATCCAGGCACTCGGGCCAGGACCCTGGCATTGCCTGGTCACTCCTCACCCCTCCAGGTCCAGCCCACCTCCTACAGCCTCACCTCCACCACACAGCCCCAGCCCCCACATAACATCTCCATGCAAGGCATGGGGATCTTTCCTGATCCGGACTCCAGGAACCGTCCTCAGCTTAGACCCTCCACGCCCATGCCACTTCCTCAGCCTGAGCTGAGCTTCCTTCCATGTCCTTTAGCCCCAGCTGTAGCCCCCACACTGGCCCACTCCATACCGTGGCACATGCACGGAGCATGTGCTGCAGAAACTGGAGCCATGGAATGCTCCACGGGGCATGCAGTAGCTGCACTGTGGGCATCTCCCTCATGCGCACGACGGGGCCCCCAGGGCAGCCACACACTGCGGCAGCAGGCGACTGAGTGCACACTGAGGTCTGGGAAGCTTGGTTCCCCATCCTGTGCACGGGGCGCACGTGGGGTGTAAGC